AAATCCTATTAAAATACGAACAAGGTGTATGAATTTATTTAAAGTTAAACGCTAAAAAAACATGTAGTTATTTTAAACTAAATTATGTATAGTTTTAAAATTTTTACAGTCTTATAATTTTCTTTTAGAATATAAAGAGAAGAATAAAAATCATGTATAAATTATCTTAATTTTTTAGATACATATTTGAACTTATCCACTTTTTTTGTTTGAACAATCGTAATAGTGTAACGCCTCAGACATCGAGAAACGGCTAAAAGGGGAAATTTGGGCAAGTCCACGAATCTAAAATAGACCATGGACCCTTCACGGCATCTTAGACGGTTAATGTAGGGGACCACGATCTATTAAGGATGTCATGAGTGACCATCCAGGACTACCCTGGGATGGGTTACCTAGACTGCCCGTGGTGACTTGGAGGGCCCGTCTAGGGGTCCGTACAAGTCGCCAAATCAAGGAAGTTGCACCCAAGTCAGGTCTTGAGTGTTGGGTCAACTTCAAACGAAGATATGTGTTAGCACAAAATGAATTTGGTGGCCCAAGACCTATCATATTAAAATTCTTTGAGTCCTCTTTCCAACGCCACAAAGTTTTCCTAATTTCAAGCCCGGAGTAATAAGTTTTGCTTGTTTTAGTGAAGCCTTGTCACAGTGAACATCTTCACGACCCACTTGATGGGATGTGGTGCTCTAGATGACCCGTGAAACCTGTCTTGAAGTCAGTTTATCAGTTTTTAAGTGAGGTTTCACCCCAAAAGTCACTTGTTAAGCACCACATAAACATTCTGTGAAGCTCCACACGGACCGTGAAGTCGTCCGTGAAGGGAACTTGTCATACATAGAGTATAGGGTCAACATTAAACGACCATATATTTAAACATAAAATTAATTAGGTGGCCCATGCCCTATCAAATTAAAGATCTATTAGTCCTCTTTCCAACGTCACCAAGTTTCCTTAATGCCAAGCTCAGGGTAAAAATTTATGCCCGTTTTAGTGAAGTCCTATCAGGCAGGGCATCTTCACGAGCTGCTAGACGGCACTTGGTCATCATGACGTCCCGTGAAGCCTGTCTTAAAGTCACCTCGACAGCGCTGCAGAGGGTCACATTAGTCTTTTCTTCTATGCGTTTGGTGCTTAAACTAGGTCGTTTAATGCTTAAACTACGTCATTTTACTCAGTCTAAGATTAGTAAACTTGTCAGAAACTACCTAAAATTCTTATTCTCTTAAAACCATCTAACTTAGACAAAAAAGGATAGAAAGAGGCGACGATTTCTCTCAAGAACAAGTGAGATTTAACTAGTCGGTTACTTTCACCCTTTAGGTCCCTAGAGTTTAGTCAGCTCTTTGATTCTTCATAGTTTATTTAGACCTAGGGTTCTAAAACCTTGGAGATTCATTGTGTTTTATCTACCATTGTTTTCATAGTCTAATTAATATGTTTTTTTGGAAATTTTGCATAGTTCTATGTATAGAAATCAGTACCCAAGCTTTCGTTAATCATCAGTACTTATGAATTCTAGCCATAAGATCATGATTTAGAATTATAATGTCATACCTTTCTGTATATTTATGTGCATTCCCAGATAGCATGTCAGTTTTTGAGCTACAAAGTACTTCAGTGCATTTCAACTTTTTATTCAGTTGGGAGTAGACTTAGCACCAAGTTGGACTAGGGTTCAGCGTACCCTCACAGTCCCAGAACTATGTGCCAACGTAGGTTGAAAAGTCCCCTCTATTGGGCACAAGTACTAAGTGATCACGCCATAGTCATGCCTCTATACCCATTGTAAGGTATATTGGGTCCTCTCAATGGGGCGAATACATTAGACTCCATTTTTAGCTCACGTGGTTTATGTCGCTCAATAGTAGCTCCCACAGTCATACTTTTATAGTATTGACCATGTTATCAGCATTTAGTTCAGCATATCAGCTACATGATTAGTACTTGGTCATTGCATTTAGCTTACTTTTTCAGTTACACTTCATACAATCCATTTCCATGTGCATTATTATATTGTTGAGTTATATCATTGTTTAGCTTAGTATCTATATTTTGCATGCTCAATATATTCAATGTACCGATGCATACTTCACTCTATATTGTGTTATGATGTAGGTTGATATACCGTGAATTTACAATATTTTAAATACATTTCACTTAAGAGTTGTGTGTGTCTATGGCCTTTTCATATTGGTTTTTATGTGTTTTTATCATGTTTTGCAGGAAAGATGTTTAGGTGCAGAATTAAAGAGACAACTGAAAGATATGAAGAAACGGGCATCTACGGGGTTGATCTACGGACAGTGGATGGTTATCGTAGATCAGCAGCACAAGGCATGGAAGGAGAATCAGGGAATCAGACAAGTGTGGAACCACAGTGACCATTGAATGTGACTGCGAGGGTTCCAGTACCTAATTTTTTGGAGAATTCTAAGTATGGAGCTACTGAGAGGGATCGACGGACCGTAGATCAATCTATGGTCCGTACTGGTGTTCCGTTGTTTGCTTCAGAGAAGCTGATTTTTGGAAGCTAAAATATTTTCTAAGTCCTGGATGACGGAAGGGACTCACGGACCGTAGATCCATTGACGATCTGTGAGTCAGTCTCACGGAATGAAGACGCGTGCCTGAACAAACTCTCCTTATTTTGTTTCCTTTTTAATTTAGGACTTGTTTTCTATAAATAGGGTATGTAAACCTTGTTTTTGGGGGTCAGACTTTATTATTTTATTCTAGGTTTTGTCTTTGCAGATTAATTTGCAACTTTAGCAATTCTTAACTTCCTACGCACGTTTGGGTGATTTTTACTTTGAAATTCAAGTTGAAATTCTAGGATTATTCTACTCTACTACGTAAGTTCATGATTTATTTTTCAAACATTATGAATTGTTTTCTTGCTAATATGGGTAACTAATTCCACAACTAGGGTTGTGGGAACCATGAGCGATTAACGAAGTATGAATAGTAACTATGTAATTCCCAAATAGTATTTTGCATGCATTGATAATTCATCTAGAAGTCTTTTTAATGGTGCGCAACGTAAGAACTCTCCTTGTTGCTACTTGCCGGACCAATGAGGTAGTTAATAAGAAAAGAATTATCAACATAGATTTAGTGTGATACTATCTAATAGAATTAATGTCGATTGGTGCGTGGGTGAAAACTAAGCCATACATTGATGTGACGTCTAATATGAGGTAATGGTAAAGGTTAGTAAATTATACACACGTAACCGGACCAAGGTGCGAGTGAAATTCTCTAGATGTCGGACCAAGGATTTAGAGCTACATAACTTATCGCTTTGCATGTAATACACTAGGAAGGGATTGCTATTACTAGGATTATGGAGTTATGAGCTTATGGGGAACACGTACGACCTAGTTTCCTTCTCAATTTGATAACAACAAAATTTTGAATCTTTCTTACTAATTACTCTCATAATTTCCAAAATTTGTTACACAAACCTCCCCTCTCCCCTTTTACTTATTTGTCTCGGAAATACATTGGCTAAATGAATATAATCGTTATTGAACTTATGTCTAAACCATATTCCTCGTGGGATCGACCCCAACCTACAAATTGGGTTCTTTATATGATAACGATCGCTTATGCTTCTGAAAAGAGGTGTAATTTGAGCGTATCAAATTTTGGCGCCGCTGCCGGTGATCGAACCTAGGTCACCCACATGACAGGTGGGAATGCATACCATTATTATATTGTTCAGTTATATCATTGTTTAGCTTAGTATCTATATCTTGCATGCTCAATATATATTCAATGTACCGATACATACTTTGCGCTACAACGTGTTATGATATAGGTTCAGGCACTCAACATCCAACAAATGCTTAGTTCGATTTCCAACCTATACTCAACAGCTTCAGTGGTCAGTTCTCATAGTTTGAGAACATTTTTAATGCTTAGTTTAGTTAGTTTATTTTCATTATTTTTAGAGTTAGCTGGGGACTTGTCCAAGCAGGTCATCAGTAGTACAGGCTTTCAGACATATAGTCAGTATTTAGTTCTTTGAGATTTGCTTCTCGTTGACATGTTCAGAATTATTAATGGTTTGGAGTCCTTAGTTTTGGACTCATTTATTATTTATGCTTCCGCTTATCTTTGTATCTATTCAGTATGCTTGTGATATTCCAGACTCAGGGTTAGCGTGGGGTCACTCGTGATCGTAGGTATCGTGTTACCTCTAAGGGATAGTGACGAGGTGTGGTATAATTGGTATCAGAGCATTAGGTTTAAGAGTCTTAGGGTGTCTGAAATCCAAACAAAGTAGAGTCTCTTTCATGAGTGTGAAGCGTGCCACATCTATGAGGGTGCGTTTACAAAATGTTTTACGAAAAATTTCACTTTCTTTGCTATTCTTATTGTGTTTGAGTTGTGATTCAATTTCTCCTTTCTAATCCATTGTTATGTGTTTCATAGCATGCCTCCTCGTAGAGCTAATACATGAAATGCCAATGCACGCAATGCTAACATAGTTGCTCTAGCCCTGGACCATGAGGTCACAAATGTAGAGTTCCGAAATGCTATCCAGATTTTGGCACATGCAGTAGCCAATCAGACCAATTAGCAGCCCCAATTCCTGCCAACACCAATGGTGAATCAACTGCACCAGGGTTTGGGACTTTGTCTGTATGACTCTACAAGAGTTTCTAGGGTCGAAGTCTTATTGGGACCCTAGAACTTCATTGATTAAGTTAAGAAGATTCTTGGAGTAATGCAAGTAACTAATACAGAGAGTGTTGAACTAGCATCCTATAAACTCTAGGATGTGGCTTATATCTGGTTCACGTAATGGAAAGAAAATAGGGGTGAGAATTCATCTCTTATGACATGGGAGTGTTTTACTGGAGCTTTTTTGACAGGTTCTTCCCGAGAGAGTTGAGAGAGGCTAAGTGTTAAGAGTTGAACTTAAAGCAGGGCTCAATGTTAGTCTAAGAATATAGACTGATGTTCATCATCTCTCTAGGAATGCTCTACATATGGTTGTTCATTCGAGGGCACAAATTAGAAAGTTCTTGTGTGCAGTATCCGATTTGATAAAGACCGAGTGTAGGAATGCTATGCTCTTAGGGGTTATGGATATATCCAGAATAATGACCCATGCTCAGCATATTGACGGAGATAAGGTTATGGAAATGGCTAAGGACAACAAAAAGGCTAGAACAGGAAATTGTGAATACTCTTAGCAAAGTTTGGGTGGTAAAGATCTCTCATAAAATCATCAGAGGTCTACAACCCCACCGCCTTTATTAGCTTGTGCTCCACCCCAGGTTTCAAAGGATAAAAAAGGTAGGGCATCATGCTCTATGTCTTTGGGGTGTACTTCAGGTAACAAGAATTTCCCAACCTGTCCAAAGTGTGGTAAGAACCATCCCCGTGAGTGTCTTGTAGACAGGGAAGGGTGCTTTGGGTGTGGTCAGTATGGCCATAGGTTGAAGGATTTTCCTTCTCCCAGGCTGGGGAAAAGTGGTAAAAACAATAGGGCTAAGTCTACAGCTCCAGCAGCACCCGTAGGTCGCCCTACTCAGCAGGGATCTTAGTCTAGTAGAGGTGGTAGTCAGCGCCAGAACAAGTTGTATGCTCTCCATGCTTGACAAGGAAGGTTTTTCTGATGTTGTCATTAGTACATTACGAGTCTTTCATTTTGATGTTTATGCATTATTAGATCCAGTGGCTACACTGTCTTCTATAACTCCTTATATAGTAGTAAATTTTAGTGTTAGTCCAGAAACTCTCTTAGAACCCTTCTCAGTCTCTATTCCAGTTGGTGACCTAATTATAGCTAGACGGGTATAATTGTCAATTCGCAGTCTCTATGAAAGTCACTTCATCAGATCTTGTAGAGTTAGAAATGGAAGATTTCAATATCATTCTATGCATGGATTGGTTACATTCGTGTTATGCCTCAGTCGATTGTAGAACTAGGATCGTTCAGTTTCAGTTTCCAAACGAACCAGTCTTAGAATGGAAGGGTAGTAGCTTAGTCCCTATAGGTTGATTTAGTTCTTACTTAAGGCCATGAAGATGATCTTTAAAGGGTGAATCAATCATCTTGTTTCAGTTAAGGATTCAAAATCCAAAACCCCAAATGTTGAGTCAATCCCAGTAATAAATGATTTTCATATAGTGTTCCCAGAAGATCTTCCTAGAGTTCCTCCAGAAAGGAAAATTGACTTCAGAATAGATCTCCTTCCAAATACCCAACCTATTTAGATTTCTCCTTACACAATGGCTCTAGCTGAGCTTAAGGAATTGAAGGAACAGTCAAAAGACCTTCTAGATAAGGGTTCATCAAACACAATATCTCTCAATGAGGTGCTCCAGTAATTTTCATGAAAAAAAAAAGACGGTTCTCCCAAAATGTGCATTGACTATCATCAGCTGAACAAAGTCATAATCAAGAATAAGTATCCTATCCTCTGGATTGTTGATTTGTTCAACCAACTTGAGGGTGCTAGTTGCTTTTATAAGATAGACCTCAGATTCAACTATCATTAGCTTATAGTCAGAGATAGTGACATCCCGAAAATAGTCTTCAGAACTCGGTATGGTCATTATGAATTTGTAGTTATGTCTTTCGGACTGACAAATGCTCATGCGCCTTTCATGGAATTAATGAACAGAGTGTTTAAATAGTATTTGGACTTGTTTGTCATCATCCTTATTGATGATATCCAGATTTATTCTCGGAGTAAGGAGGAGCATGCGACTCATCTGAGAGTTGTCTTGAAGACTCTCAAAGATCGCCAGTTATTCACTAAGTTCGGCAAATGAAAATTCTTGTTACAGTCGGTCTTTTTGCTTTGTCATGTGATATCTAGCTAAGGGATCCGTATGGATTCTCAGAAAATTGAGGTAGTACAACACAGGCCCAGACCCACCTCCCCAACTAATATCAGAAGTTTTTTGGGTTTGGCCGGTTATAACAGGAGATTTGTTGAAGGATTTTCATCCATAGCTTCCCCATTAACCAAGTTGACTTCAAAGAAAGTCAAATTCCAGTGGTCAGATGAGTGTGAGAAAAGCTTCTCACAACTGCTATCTTGATTGTACCAGATGGTTATGTGATTTATTGTGATTCATTCAGGGTCAACCTAGGTTGTGTGGTGATGTAGCGAGGTAAGGTTATAGCTTACGTTTTTAGATAACTTATGGTTCATGAGAAGAACTACCCGACTCATGACCTCGAGCTTACATATGTAGTACTTTCCCTAAAGATTTTAAGACATTACCTGTATGGTTCTTAGGTTGATGTGTTCATAGATCATTAGAGCCCTCCAGTATGTGTACACCCAGAATTATTTGAATCTTTGTAAGAGGAGATGACTTGAATTACTCAATGATTATCACATGAATGTGCTTTAACATCCTGGTAAGGCCAATGTAGTAGATGATGCTCTTAGCAGACTGTTTATGGGCAGTGTAGCACATGTTGAGAAAGAAAACTAAGAGATAGCCAAAGATTTTCACCGCCTTGCTCGCTTAGGATGTTGCCTTAAGGATACATCAGATGATGGTATGATAGTTCAGAATGGGTCATAATCTTCATTGGTAGCGGAGGTTATGGAAAAATAAGATAGTGATCCTATATTAATTTAGTTGACAGGTGCAGTTCTTCAACAAAAAGTAGAGGTTTTCTCACAAGGGGGAGATGGTGTGTTTCGTTACCAGGGTCGCTTATGTGTTCCTAATGTTGGTGAGTTAAGGTTGTAGATCCTTACAGAAGGTCATAACTCGAGGTATTCCATTCATCTAGGTGCCACTAAGATGTACCATGATCTATGGGAAGTCTTTAGGTTGAACGACATGAAGAGGGACATACCACACTTTGTGGCTAACTGTTCGAACTGTCAACAAGTTACGGTAGAATATCTTAATCCAGGAGGTATGACTCAAGAGAATAGCAATCCTACATGTAAGTGGGTAGTGATAAACATGGACTTCATCATAGGTTTACCTTGTACTCACGAAAGCATAAATACATTTGGGTGATAATGGACAAACTCCCTAAGTCCCCTCACTTCTTGGCTGTCAAGACTAAAGATGCAGTGGAGGACTATGCCAAACTCTACATCAATGAGATAGTTAGATTACATGGGGTTCCCTTGTATATAATTTCAGATAGAGGTCCTCAGCTCACCTCTCTTTTATAGAAATCATTTTAAAAAGGTCTTGGTACTCGTAAATCTCAGTACGACATTTCATCCATAGAAGGATGGTCAGATAGAGCGTACCATTTAGACCTTAGAGGATATGTTGAGAGCTTGCGTAATTGATTTCAAGGGTAGTTGGCATGATCACCTACCTCTCATATTCAGATTGCTGCATATGAGGCTCTATATGAGCGTAGATGCAGGTCCCAAATTAGTTGGTTTGAAGTAAGTGAAGTAGCCTTAATTTGGCCAGATTCGGTTCATGAGGCTATGGAGAAAGTTCAGCTCATCAGAGATAGACTAAAGACAACTTAGAGTCGTCATAAGTTCTATGCAGATGTAAGAAGAAGGGACTTACAGTTTGAAATTGATGATTGGGTTTTCCTGAAAGTGTCACATATGAAGGGGGGTGATGAGATTTGGAAAGAATAGGAATCTCAATCCTAGATATGTAGGTCTTTACCAAATCCTGAAAAAGGTTGGTAATGTGGCTTATGAGTTAGAGTTTCCAGCAGAACTAGCATCGGTTCATCCAGTCTTTCATATTTCCTTCTTGAAGAAGTGTGTGGGTGATCCGACATCGATACTACCATTACAGAGTATGACTATTAAGGATAGTCTCACTTATAAAGATGTGCCAGTTGAGATTCTCAACCGTCAGGTTCATAGGTTGGGAAATAAAAAAGACACGTCACTAAAGTTTTGTGGAGGAGCCAGTCCGTAGAGGAAGCTACTTTGGAAGCAAAAGAAGCCATGATAGCCAAGTATCCTCACCTCTTTCCTTCCAATTCCGTTTCAGCTTGAGGTAATTATTCCTCTCCAGTCTTTAAGTTTAATCTTGAGTAATTTAGTCGCAGTATCTTGTTCCCTCAATCGTTCTTGCATTTTCATATATTTGCATATTCTTGGAACTCAGTCAGATATCAGTTTCTCGTACCAGTAATAGGGATTGTAGCCATTTCATCCATACTCCCCTTGTTTAGACTTCATTCGAGAATGAATTTGCCCAACAAGGAGATATTGTAACACCTCAGATTTGAGAATACAGAAAAATGCAGCTTTCCATGATATGGTATATGAACCAACGGAAGCCACCGATGGACCATGGTTCAGTCCCAGACTTAGGAAAAATTTGGAATCTAAAGAAGACACCTACCGTCGTGAACCATGGTCTGTGGATTGACCCACAGACCATAATTTAGTTCCGTCATTGGGGTCCACAGTTTGATGGTATCTGATTGCACCCTTGGTCGACCATTACGGTCTGTGGTTGGACCTACCGACTGTAGGTGAGGGTTAGCAGCTATTTTAGAGAAAAATGGTTGTTCGGTCAACTTCAAACAGTCATATATTTTAGCACAGAAGGAATTATTTGGCCCATAACCTATAAAACTAAAGATAATTAAAGCCTTTTTCCAACCCCCTCGAGTTTGTTTAAATCCAAGCTTCGAGTAAAAAGTTATGTTCATTTTAGTGAAGTCCTGTCATGCAGAACATGAACGACGACCTCAAATGATGGCCGATAGTCCAAACGATGGACCGTTAGTCCCACTGTTGATGGCCTTCATTCGCTTTTAAGTTAGGGTCGTTTTGGAATTTTCCCTATGTGTTGGGGGCACTTAAATTATGTAGTTTAATGCCTAAACTGCACCGGTTTACTCAGTATAAGCCTAATAATGTAGTCAAACATACCCAAAAACCCTCATTCTCCAAAGATCATCCAAATTAGAACGAAACGAAGATAAAGAGGCACCAGCTTTTTTACAGAACAAGCAACAGTGTTCTTCAAGTTTTAGCCCTGAAATCGAAAGGATTTCTTCATAGATTTCATCATCAGGAATGTGGGATTTCACTGGTGGGTTCCTTTCACCCATTAGGTCCCTGGGTTCCTTTCACCCATTAGGTCCCTAGAATTCAGTTAGTTCTTCAAATTCTCATAAACTCCTCAGACCTAGGGTTTCTAGATTTGCAAGATTTATTGTGATTATGGTTCCATTGATGTAAATAAAATATTTCTTGATAATTTAGTATAATTCCATGCATAGTACTCAGAACCCTAACTTGTGTAAATTTATCCTAGTTTGTGAATTATACTTGCTAAGTCAGTTAAACAGAAAATCATGCTCCCAATTTCCAATATCACATTCTAAGTATATAAATGTTGCATTCTTAGTTAACATGTTAGTATTTTGAGGTATTCAGTATTTGGTGCATTTTAGCTTCATATGAATTCAGTTAGGAGTAGACTAAGCTTGTTTAGTCTTCATTCGAGAATGAATGATCTCAATGGTGAGATATTCTAACACCTCGGACTTTGAGAAAGGGCTAAAGGAGAAATTTGGTCAAGTCCACAAATCTAAAATAGACCCTTCACAACATCTTAGATC